ATAGAGGTGTTGCAATACAAAGGGAAGGTCATTACAAGGGCTCTCATGTATACATAGAGAGGTATAGATCAAGTGAGTGACTAGCTGAGAGTGGCACAGAAAATCCAGTCAGAGGACTGGAAAGAAGCTGCGATCCTGACTCCCGGGCTCCTGTACTCCGTCTCCGGTGGCTCTGCCTTCCAGTGCGCTCCAACCTGTGCTGGAGCTACCAGAGATGCAAACCCAGCATTTGCTCTTCCCAAGGGGAGGAGGAGGCAGGAACTTTTACAGTGTTTGAGACCTCCCCGGTGCAGTGACTCTGTGCTCCTTGAATACGTAAAACCAAATTTAAGTTATTAAGGGCAAAAAGGAAAAAAAGCCTGTTTTTCCTACTTAAGGCATTTCACCCTTAAATTTGGTGCCAATGTTTGACAGCTCGTGTTTCTCCTGTGTGCCCAGACACGCTGTAGGTCTCACGTTTCGCTTCAAGAGCCCTGTAGCTTGGCTTGTTTTGCTTGTGAAGCTCTTAAACTGCTGCACAGCAAATCTGCCCTCGGAGCCGCAAGACGCGCTGCCAGGCAGACGGTGCTCAGCACTGTGACCTGTTGGCTGCTGCCAGCCCCAAAGCGCTGGCTGTCATATGCCTCTATAGGCTAAACTTATATGAGAGGGAAGCCCTCTTGCCTTGCGCGCTCATGAACCGCTCTGGCAGCAGCATGTGCTGCACACGCTGGGAGTAATGTGCTGGAGCCTGTCAGCCCGTGCCGGAGCCCTGCGTTGCCCTCCTTTGCCAGAATACAGGAATCCTGTGCGACCGGAGGCAGCAACATTTGGCCCAGCAGCGTCTGCCAAGGTGCGGGTGCGATCTGCCAAGCCAAACAGGATTTTATTGTTTATTGGTTTGTGAGGAGGGGAAGGGCATTTCTAGGGGAGGCGAGCAGCCGGTGCTATTTGAGATGCTGCTGGCTGGAGCTGGTCAGGCCCTTGTGAAGAGGGTCCTGGGGTAATTTCAGGAGTTGGCTCCCCTGCGCGTTTCTGAGATCTCGGTTAGCTGAGAAGTGCTGGCATTGACTGGGAGAGCAGCCAGGGTCTGTGCGAACAGACTCGGTAGCTGTAGCAAAGATTTTTAGTGGCGACAGTTGATGTGTGGGAGAAGAAAATGTATGTGTGCTTAATAAATATTGGCGCTCGGCAAGAGCTTATCAGCTAATTCAGTGCCTCAGCTTCTAGAGAGCTGGGTTGTCTCTGCCACATTGAAAAGAATCCTTTCAGATCAGGGGATAAATAGAAAATTAATATGAAAAATACTTTTTTTTTTGAATGGTGCTAATTTAATGCTGACTGAGCTGTAGGATGGTTCCCGCCTGCCTTCCCAAGCCCGCACAAGAGGCAGCAGCAATACCCGCTTCTCCTCACAACCCAGGCCCCTTGGACTGTGTGTGCAGACGTTGTCCCAGACAGAAGAGGGCTCAGAACAGAGCAAACCCTGCAGATTTGGTCTCTTTTTTACTTGCTGGTTTGTGTTGTATGAACTCCTGTCTTCTGGGAAGGAGAGGCACATTCACAAGCTGTGTTCCAGAGGTTTTTGGGGTTGTCCAGGTATGCTAGATGGCCTTCAGAGGTCCAGTCCATCATCTAGTCCTAGCTGAGGCTGACTGCCTATCTATTTCTGCAGCCTATCTTTGAAACCCCTGTGATGGAAATGGCCTCTTCGGGTTGCCCTGTTCTGGTACACCGTTATCCCTGCTATTAAAATGACTAAATTAGATATTCCTTGCCACGGTTTAGCTGCCTTACTATTTCTCCTGTCCTCCATAGACAGCTCTTCCTTTTTTCAGCAGTGACAATTAACACATATGAAGACTTTTAATGCATTACCCTTTCTTTAATCTTCCCTTAGCAATCTTTTTCCATGCCCCAGATCGCTCTTGTCACTCTCCCCGAAACTGTCCAGTGACTTGCATCTGTTTTTCTTTAATGCTGCAACCAAAGCTACACAGAATTCCCTAGCCTGTGGCAGCAGTGAAAGGATTAATTTGAGTCTTGTTGGTGATATTTATATATCGCAGTATAGTTGGTTATTTGTTTGCAGCATCGTGGTGGACTCTGATTTCTGATGCAGAGCTCTTCTGCAAGAACAAGGCAAAAGACTAAATTTCCATGCTGGCAGGACATCCTATTCCTCACCTCCTGTCTTTTTTGTTGATGTTGTTTCCTTTTCCCAACCTGTGGGGGTGTGTGCGTACCTGCAGCGCCGTCCACCTCCACATCAAGGCAGTGCTGAAGCAGCAGGTGTTCTGCAGCATCAAAGTGATATTTCCTTTTAAGTTCCTCCTGCTTTCCAGGGAGCAGTTTTTGGTCTTTTACCTGTTGCTTTGTTCTTTCTCTGCTAGGTAAAAGCTAATTAAATGTTGCCGCTGTTGGCGGAGAAGTCCTGCACCTCTGCCTGCATTCCTGAGAGCCCCTGGAGAGCTGCAGTAGGACATCACACAAGCTCTTCTCTCATACGTGCGCCTCCATCTGCTGTCCTC